TGGTGGGGCAGAGCACATCTAGCCCATTGTGTAGCTTTGTGCTTCACTTCAAAAACAAACGATAGCAGTGACACAGTTTAATTATTTACATAAAGGGAAATCCAATAATACCATTAGAATTGTAACAAGTATCACGAGTTATGCCGGCTGTATGGATCTTGATTTTATTTTGATTTACTTTTTTCTAAACTGGGGAGTACGTTTCCCTGGTGACTAACACCTAAGAGTTATTCTGTTATGGATATTTAGGTATAGATCGTCTCGTTTTCTCTCTCTTTAATTACAATATCATTTAAGGGACTTCTAATGGATTTTTTTTTTTACTTTACAGGTGGATATAGTCACTTGAAAGTATACTGATAAAATATTTCAATAAAAATATACAAGTTTTATTTTACAACTTTCGTGTATTTTGTTTGGTGTCTATATCCTCTACTACACTGTAAGGCATATCAGGTTATGGGAGGAAATATGTTAAAACAACACGTGACCTGGTTAATTCAAATTCGCTAAAGGCTGCCATACACATGTATAAAAATTCTAAATACTTACGTTGTACAAGAATAAAACATTTGGAGATTATAACTAGCACACAACGTCCTTTAACCTTATCTTATATTACATCCAGTATAACAGCCTCGTTGCCAATCTCTGCATGAATGTGAAGTGATTAATGGCTTGTATGAACATGTTGAAACGTATCATGACCTTATTATATTTCGAAAATAGTAACATTATGATATAAAATTATCAATGGGAGCAAAAAAACCTGTAAGGTTTGAATCAAAAATCCGAACATCTGCCGAATATTCACGATTAATCGTCTATATACATATAATGTCTTTTTGTACAATAACAACGTTTTTCACTAAATTAGTATACAATACAGTTACAAATATAAAAAAGCATAACTACAAATAACATGAAATATATTTTTACGTTGATTGTTTACACTTGACTCGTTTATTTCTCGCATGCTTATAAAAAAGTTTGTTTTGTTTTTGAATTTCGCGCAAAGCTACACGAGGGCTATCTGCGCTAGCCGTCCCTAATTTAGCAGTGTAAGACTAGAGGGAAGACAGCTAGTCATCACCACCCACTGCCAACTCTTGGGCTACTCTGTTTTACCAACGAATAGTGGGATTGACCGTCACATTATAATGCTCCCACGGCTGAAAGGGCGAGCATGTTTGGTGTGACAGGGATTCGAACCCGCAACCCGCAGACTGCGAGTCGAGGGCCCTAACCACCTGGCCATGCCGGGCACGTATAAAAAAAAAGAAGTATTATCAAGGAAAAATAACAAAACCTTAATTTAGAGCAAATAAACCAAACAATACGTCAACTTTCTCTATCTAAATCATTTACTTCCTTCTGAATAATAATTTTCTTTATCTTCTTAGCACAGCATTGTAAAATATATTACTGTTATTTGAAGATTACAAATCTTTTAAAGTGTGAATCACGAAAATCATTGTATAACTCTTGCCAACTACTCCAATGGTTATGTAAACTTTCACCCATGGCCACTACAGTCATAAAGGTCATTTTTTACTTCCAATAAATATGCATAACCAAAGCGACAATCTTTAATTTACGAAACGTACGAATAGGTAAATTTTCTGTCAACTTCTTTATTTCAAAAATTATAAAATCAATAAATATTAATTTCTGATCAAGTCAACCTATCACCAAGACCTAGGACTAAAAACATACGCAGTAATGACTACATTTATGGTACACTTCACTGATTTTAATGGATTAGCCTAGAAAACACTGAAATATATATATATACATATATACGTTGTTGTAGTAAATGCTTAAAGAAAACTGAGAAGAAAAAAACAACAACAACAAAACGAGAACAATACATATCATACGACATATATATGTCATTATTCATCCTCAGTATGTGAAACGTTACACTATTTCGAACGTCTGGACCGATGGATTTTAATATTTAATTCATATCCATAAATAAACTGGGATGATGCGAAGCTCAGTTTTATTAGACCGAGTCAAGACAAGATAACCTAGTTTCTTCGCGCGCTTCCCTGTAAGGAAGGGCCTTGGCTCGTTCTCCACGTACTTGGTCGTTGTTCAAAAGTTTATATATAATTTTGAACAAAAACACGGGAACTTTACGACACTAACATGGCTTGCAAACTAATGGGATAATATTTAAGGTATATATCTTGTTTGTTTTTATTAAAGCACCTTTTCTAATAAAAATAAAATAAAATTACAAAAAAAAATCACACCAAAAAAACTAGTGTGTTTCAAACCCATTTAATATATTTTTCATTGTTTAGGTATACATGCGAGAATACCATTCGTACGGTGGTTTTTCTGTGATGTGGTTTTCTTTAGTATCATGTATAGCAAGAGCGGCTATATGATTTTGGAAAGTTTAATGATGTATGTATAGACCTAATATTATATGTAATTCTTTGATAATATGTTAATATACCATATCAATGATTACAATGATTATTGCTTATTCTATAGCTTTACAAACCGAGTATCTGTTTGTCTGTTTGTAATTATGCACAAA